TGCTAACTCTTGTTATTGTTGTTTACCAGTGGTTTTGACCTATCAAGAGTTAGAAATATGTGATATAACAATCTTTTTCTTTCCTAGCCTTAAAGATTTTTTTCCCAAAAATTAACAGCCAAAACAGCTTACTTATAAATAAACTGTGACATAAAAGACAACCAATATTACATATCAGAAATTGTGTCAAACATATTAATTACAACAAAGACAACACTATAAAATAGTTATAAAATAAAGTTGAAGTGGAAAGACTAGTAATTTGGGTTTTTTTAGGTTAAGAACCTGACTTTCTAAGCACAGTATTTAGTGAGCCTGAGGTAATACCCAAGTGCTTACCTATATGCTCACTAACATAAGAAATGGAGGGTCAGTTTTACAGTTTTGTTAACTAGCGTAAACTTTAAAGAAAGAAACAAGGAACTCTTTTTTAGGGGAATTGCAGGGCATTTGGTTAAAGGCTAAATTTCACAGTGTTGTATCCCACAAAGGGAAAAAATAAGAATAATTATTCCCCTATACTCTAAGACATTAAAATTTTGCTCTTGAAAACTTGCTAATCTACTTTCCAAACTCTTTCTCTATAAATCTCAACATATCCAAATCAAAAGAGAATTGATCCAAAAGAGGGGACAAATAAAAAGGGAAGTCTTACAGAATCCACTTAAGCCTGGGCAGAGTTCAGTTTAGCTTAAATTCAGAACCTGGAGAGTCCCTTTAAAAAAAAAAAAATCCTTGTTTTCTCACTGGCAGTCAGTGTGATTAAGGTACATTCAGCTATCTACCAGCTGTATCCATTCGTTGTTATGTAATAAATTTCAGAATCTGGACTCATTCTATTGAGGAAATGGGGACGTCAACAACAAAGTTGAAGCTGAAGGTAGGTAATCTTAGTCTTGGGATATGTTCTCCCTAAAAATATAAGAGGCAGATATATTCCATATGAGAGACTTCTTCCTGGATGGGGTCAGTCAGTAAGCAGAAGTCACAAGCAAGAAAAAACACTAAATATCTAGAACCACAAATCAAAGTGCTGGGAAAAAGGGACAAGAAACATACCGTAGGATGGTAAAATAATTCCACTGAACTGTACTTTTTTGCTACCTGGGCATGTCTTTATCTGGGCTTTCCACACATAAATAATTCTTGCCCTTATCTTTACAGTATTGTTAAGAACCTGATTCTCTAAGCCCAGTATTGGGTGGGCCTGAGCTGATACTCAAGTGCTTACTACATGCTCACTAACACAGGAATTGGAGGATCAGTTTTATACCAGGCTGTAAGGTAAACAATTATACACCTAGAAAGGGCAGGGAAAGAAATTATTTGAGTAACAGAATCAGCTCATGGCATTTGTATAAGACACTAAAAGCTGTTCAAAAAGAGAGAACTGAAAATAAAAGTTGAGGGCCAATTTTTAATGGGATCCACAACAGAGTGGCCAAGATGCTGGAGGAAAAACAGAACCCTAATGTGGAATAAAGTCAAATTGAAGACTAAAAAGGAAATAAAGTGTCACACAGAGAAACAAGAGGAATAGGTCCCCAGGAGCTAAGATAAAAATTTACTGAGCGATTTATCGCTGTATTAATTGACTGTCACTGGCCTAGCAGCAAATCAGCAACAGGGGTTTTGTAAAGGCATACTGTGGGTTCTGACAGCAGCTTATATCATAGCAAACCTCCTTCAAACTTGTATGTGTTATGATACTTGGGCAAAATCCTAAATCTCATGAAGTCTTCCACTCACATATGAACTGCATTAACCAAATTTTACCTTACCATGTCCAGTTTATCTACATCACATAGTATGGTCAGATCATGAAAAAAGGCTTAAAGATCCTCCAGCAAACACTTCAATAACTTCAAACAAGGGTACATAAAAATTTAGAGAAAAAGTAAAGGACTTTTTAAAACTCCTTGTTTAGAAAAGAATGGGTCAGTATTCACCTGTTTATTCAGAAATATTTATCTAACCACCTACTATAAGCCAAGAATTAAAGATACAAAGATAAAAAAGATAGGATCTGGACCTCAAGGGACTTACGGTGTGTGGGAGGGGTGGAGACAGGCATGCAAATTAGTAAGGATAATAAAATGTTACAGGTTCTATGACAGAAGTATGTCGATGGTAAAATAGGACATAAAAAGAGAGAGTGATGAATTCTACAGGAGTAGGGGGATCGTAAAGTCTTTAGAGAAAAGGTGACCCTTTAAAAAATAAATGCAGCAAATCAGGATATTAATATCTATTACATAAAAGAAAATCACATAGATATAATTTGTTCGACATCACAAAAGAGTGACATATATTTAGGGATAGGCTATAAATAAATATGTAAAACTCCTCTCATTTCAGAAATGCTCCACTAGCCTTTTTGACAATTTAATATAATTTCATTGTCATGGTAGCAATCAATAGCCAAATATACAACTTACAATTGGCTCAGTTCATGAAGTGAATTAAGATAAAAGTTTTTTCTTATATATTGTATGTGAAAGTCCTCATCATGATTTGGGTACATATCTATCTGTCTGGATGTTATTGGCCATATAGATTTTTGGTATTTGTCTGTTACCCTTACTCTTCTCTCCCAGAAATTTGTGCACCAAAAAAAGAATGCAGACTTAGTAAGAAGAAACTTTATTTGAAAGAAGTATTGCAAAGGGAAGGCGGAGAGTGACTATTGCAATGGGAAGAACATTTTGACCATGAGATTTGCAAGCACGTCAAGTGTTAGACAAAACGAGTTGTTCTTTTGTAGGAAAGTGTAAACAAGGCTAGAAAGAATCTGATGTGGACAAGTTGGATGAAAGAGTGGCATGATTAAATAGTAGATCAGATAATGTTTTACACTGAAACCCGTCTATTTTCAGGAGGGGATGTTAAGGAGATGCTCTATGCTGGTCAAAGTCCAAGGACCTGGAGAAGGAAGAGAAGCTAAATCATAGTTTGGTTAACAAACATTTTATTCCAATTGATCAGTAGGGACAAGCAGTTCACTTAACCATTTGTGAAGTAAAGAATGGAAATTTGGCCAGGGGTGGCCCGTAATTCCAGCATTTTGGGAGCCCAAGACAAGATTGCCTGAGCCCAGGAGTTCGAAACCAGCCTGGGCAACATAGCAAGAACTTATCTCTATAAAATATCAAAAAATTAGCCAGGTGTGGTAGCATGCACCTGTAGATTCAGCTACTCAGGAAGTTGAGGTGGAAAAATCACATGAGTCCAGGAGGTTGATGTTGCAGTAAGTAGTGATCTTGCCACTGTACTCCAGTTGGGTGACAGAGTGAGACTTCTACTCAAAAAAAAAAAAAAAAAAATTTGCAAGGGATGTGTCTGGCCTTGTCATAAGTAAACAAGTGGAGGCATATCTTAACCAATTTATATTGGAGAGGGTACTTTTTTGTGTTTTTATTTTTTCAGTTAGCTGTTTCTAAAACGCAAAAGGGGGGGCGGAATTTTTTAATCTTTGCTGTTTTCTAGGATCACTGGACAGGTAAATTTAACGTTGTCAATTGACATTAATCAAAGATAAACTGACACTGGATGATGCTATTAGAAAATAGAGCTTTTAGCATGATATTGGAATAAGTTAAAAAATCTGCCTTTCAAGGGGCTTTTATTGATTCAGGTTTATTAGATATGCCTAGTCTAGGTGTAAAGAACCTTAATGATTCAAGCCAAATTAGAGCTCAATATAAAGGTCTGAAGCTAAATAGTAAACAAAAGTATGCATTTTTCTAACCATCTTCTGTGCTTCTCTGAAGCAGTACAGAACACAGGAACGATCTTTATGACTTCCCCTAGTGATCTACGGAGATGTTGAAGTGTTTCATCAGTAACTGCTTGAGATTCTCAGTCATCTATTACTGTTTTCTAACAGATTAGACTCAAAAGTTAAGGCTATGGAAGAGCTTCACAAAGAATAAAAATCTCCTAAATGTCCAGACTAAAAGACTATCAGAGTACTATCAAATTGTTTTCCTATATGAATATTACTGAGAAAGGTTTTTTTTAAAATAGCCCACTGCAGCTGAACTATATGCCTATAGATCATGAGAAGCCGGGAGATATTCTTTACTTTATTTTTCTCAAACTCTAGAGAGCAGAAAGGTGAACAGAAAAGATACTGAAGATTGCTCTTGGGCTAGGGCACCAGCACACACACACCTCCAGAGGAAAGTACCTCTTTCAAAAGCAATATATAATCAAAATAATGTTAATCTACCCACAATGTTTTAACACAGAGGTTTCAGAAGTATTTGACTACCATGCCTCACCCAAAATAAAATCTATTATTTGCAGAAGTAAAAAGTAACATTCTAATGAAAGAGAATATAATAAGGCAATATAGATTTTAAGGACTTTAATGAAATTCACTTACGAAATTTCCCCATGCATAATAGTTTAGCAATTAGGCTATTACTATATTGCTGAAAACAAAATAAATAACATTTTTGTTATGCCTATTCCCGTAATTGTGCAGGAACCAAGTCCAAGCCTCATAATTGTTAAATTCAGCTTTCTATTAGGAAAATAACACATAAAAATGAACAGAGAAATGATAGAAATAAAATTTCTAAGCTGGAAACTGACTTCATTACCGTTAAATCATATGAATAATTTCTAATTGATTTGTATTGGGGCAGGAATCTTATATTTCAGAACCATGTTCATCTATTTATCACAATATATTCTATATGACATATGGAAACTAATACATTGCTTCATTAATATTTAAGTCTTTCCCTAGTTATGGCTCAGAGATATTTAACATTCTAAAACATAAGCATTTATAATTACATGTTTTACATTTTACTCTAATTTTTAATACTGCCAAGATTATTTAGCATAACTAACTTTTAAACTACATACTCTTTTCTCTCTCCATTTGCATATCAATCAAATTTGCATTATTCTGCTTTGCTCATTTTATTAAAAGCGAATTCAGAGCACAATTGACTTTTCATTTGCTTAACAAGTGAAGAAATATTTACCCTGACAGCCATTGCATTGTAGAGATTCATCATCATAGTATAATATGCTACCTGTGAATCAAGAAGAAAAAAGATGGCATACATTTCAGTTATACAAAGACAGTGCAGCCTATTTTTACATATAAAAGATAAGAATCTTTATACATAATACATAATAAGAGTTCTAGGCTTCGAAAAATGAAATCAAACTTTGTATTGAAGAGATAGGCTTCCTAATACATAATGCAAGCTTAACCAGAAAAATCTATGGTAGTCAAACTAGGAGCTAATGGAGATATATGATCATAAAATGCTCTCCGCTGAGTTTGATAATCAATGGTGCTCTACTGAGAATAGAATAACAAAGCAGAAATATTCACAAGTGCTGGTGACATGTAGTATTGTATGATTTATTCACTGGGGTTCTTTTAGCCAAAACTCACAGAAACATAAAAGGAATTCATATTTCAAGACGTCTGGTTTAATGAAAAATTCAAAGAAATGCTGTCTTCAGTCGAAATCGTTCAAGGATATGGATACAGTGATGGAGCAAAATTGTGCCTTCCAACCATCTATGCAAAATGTTATGTACTTAGCTGCCTCCTGAGTAATCCTGGGGAATTTTGTTTCATTTAAGATTCATTTAACACTATAAAATCATAAATACAATGATATCATGTTACAGCAAATCCCTTGATATAGTGAAAATTTCCTAAAGTGTTGTTTTTCCCCGGTAAAGACACATTTATCTATTAATACACAAATCTCTGTTTTAGTAAATCATTTAACAATGGAGCTTATTTCAATGAAAACAAAGCTTCCACATATGTTCTATCTTTTAATTAAAAATATACAATTAACACGATTTGTGACAGGATAGTGAGCAGTAAAAGTAATGAAGTACATATTTTTAACATGATATATAACTTTATTCATTTTTATTAAACCAAAATTCATTCAACTAATACAACTTGAGACCAGGTAATAGGTGTTACGTTTCAGACTAAAATCAAAGAAAAGTGTCTTAACCCTTTATAAAAGGGTTTCCTGCCCTATGACAAACAGGAATTCATATAAAGGGGTTTCATTATAATCAGTGTTGTTTGAATTGCCCGGACTGATCCAAAGCAAATTGTCTGTGGAGAGCAGCAGGGCTGGAATATGTATCAACAGTCTGAGCAATTAAGTAACAGTTGGCTGCAATATGTTATTTACAAATGAACACATTGATGTTATTTCATTTTGAATACTCTTTCTTCCTTATAACAAGGTAGGAATAATTCTTGGTGTTCGAGATGATTTAAATTATTTACTTTAATATTATATTTCTTTCACTCATATTAAAACAGACATTGCCATTAAACATTTTTACAACGAAGAAATATATTGAAAATTATATATTCAAAAAAGTTTTGGTTCAGAAAAAAATGTTTATCTTTATCAAATTGTTTAGTTAACAGGAAAGAGTGTGTGTGAGTTTTTGAGCCATAAACCTGAGTTCAGTTCCTAAATTTGCTTTCAGCAGCTGTGTGGTATTGAACAAATTGCTTAACGCCCCTCGGTTTTTATTTCCATTCTTACAAAACAGGGTATTAACTGCTTCATTGAGTTTTTGTGAAGATTAAAATGAGATACAGTATTTCAGATGCTTGGGACTAGACAGTCATTATCATGTCTATCATGGGATCATCAGCAGTACTAACCATTACTAAAAGTATGTGGCTAAAAGGATGTAATTTGTCTACATGTAAGTAAAATTCCAAAAAGTATAAAGGGCTCAATTTTATTATAAACTAACAGAAAAAACAGATATGGTTTTTGAGCCTAGGAATTCTGAATTCTGTAGTTAAGAGGTAGAAAAGCACCTTGAGCCCCATGTATTATATTATTCTTAAGTGAACCACTAATTTAATCTATATTTACTCTCATTGTACAGAGTTTCAGTCTGAGATGATGAAAAAGTTCTGGTGATAGACACCAGTGATGGTTGTGTACCAATGTGAATGCACTTACTGCCAATAAATAGTACAGTTAAAAATAGTTAAAATGGTAAAAATTTATGTTATATTTATTTTATCACAATTTCAAAAACTAAAATATCATGTATAAATGTGAACTGTGCATTTCCATAAACTCTCTAGAAGTTATTTAGACACATTAAAATTTTGTAAAATATCATTTAAGTCTTTGTTTCTCCACTCTAGCAATGATGATTATTTATTATATTAATAATTATCCTGTTGGTTACTTGACTAGTTGAAATATAGCTCATATAAAAGTCCTTGTTATCAAGCAATTATTCTCTAGAATTTTGTCCTAAAAAGTATATATATATATATTTTTACAATCCATGGAGGTGGGTGAGCAAACCATACCCTATCTAACAAATGTTAGAGTACCAAGTCATTTTAATTTCTCAACAAAATTCCTATTTTTCTTACTATTTATGAATTTCCCATTCCTTTATCATAAAGATATCAAGTCTACTTTAAAGAGTAGACAAAATATTTAGGGTGAAAATTAGGCATAAAAAATGTGGATTATTTTATTGTAATTTATTGTAATTGTGCTTAATTATAAGAAGTTCACCAAATATTTTTTGAATAAATGAAGAAAGGGAAAGAAGGAGGAAGGGGAAAAGAAAAGAAGGAAAGAAGAATAAAGAGAATTGATATCTTGATTTACAACAGGCAAAAAAGGAAGGTTTTCTGAGATTAAAAAATAGCATTTGTACATTATCAAACATTTGTTGGCTGTGAGACCTTTGTCATATTACCTAGCTTGATTTTAAAAAGGCTTCTGAAATTTTTTATGGGAGATATATTCCTTTTGAAGACATAATTTTCTGCATGATTAACATCCATGTTGACTTTGTGTACAGGGATGCTATTCAATGTAATAAGACCAGAGTGGTCATATTTGTTTATCATTGGTATTTTTTCTGATTTGTTGTGATAATTGAATGACCCTATTATATACATTACTAAGTATTTTTAATATTATCCTGCTTCCAAGACAAACTGAGTGCTCAGTTTTATCAGTGGCTGTGTTTGTTTTCTATTTTTTATTGAAAATTTTATTCTCTCATTTTCACTCATCATTTGCAATTACTCTGAGATTTGTGGTCTTCTTTTCCCATTACTGAACTATTTTCAATCTTCATATCTGCTTCTTTCTATTTTTAATTCATTTGGAACACCTCCTCTAAATTAATTTTGAAAGTATTGATTTTATCAACTCCTTTTTGAATTTCTAAAATCATAGGCCTTCAATCGTTTCCAATCTTAATTGCTGACTGATGTAAATAACACACTTGAGTATTTCAGATCACTAGGATAGAGAGACATAAAGTTACAAGCTAAGGCACATAACACTTAACCTTTCTATTTTTCTAGTAAGATAATGATTACTAATGAGCGTATGTCCCGTATTTAAGGTTTGTTTGTTTTTCCCCTATCAAATAAATAACATTCTGGGCAGAATAAATGACAGTCCCTCTCTTACAGGTCAAAATGATATTAAAGTTCACCACAAGCAGGTGTCAATCTTTTTTTCCAATTATCCCTAATTACTCCTTTCCCTTAAAGCTCAATTGATCAAATTACTGCAAGTGTTCTCTTCTCCACTTTCATATTTATGTTACTTTCTTTGCCTGAAATGTCTTACCATTTCTTTCTAGCTGCCCAGTCCCATGTCTCCTGTTTTTCTTACATGTGCTTATTTATAGAAGAAGCTATCTCTTGTTCCCTACTCTTAAATACCACCCACTGGAGTAAGAAGCTAGCATTCTCCTAGCTCCAAGGGGAGTTACAAACCATTTCTAACTAACAGGATGCATTTATTTAAAAACAGGCAAAAACTTCAAATATCACAATTTTCAACTTCATTACTCTCCCTTTTTTGTGTTGTCATTTTCCCCTTAGGTTTTAGATCACACTATCCTCTCTTTCCCCTTCTTGCCATTCCCAATCTGCTCTAATTATATGTATATAAAGATTTTGACACCTAGGTTAAGGTCTTACTCGAAATCAGAAAACTCCTGCCATTATCCATAGACTTTCATATTCATGTAGACAGCACCTTTAATTACCTAATCTCACATTTATGTGCTTTTCTCAGTCCCAATGACCTCTACTTCAGTTGAGTTTTATATTCCCACAGCATGATCCAGATCTTGTCAACTATACCTGCTCCACCTCTTATTTTAAAACCATACTGCAAATCCTTCTTCTTAAAGTCCCTGAAGCTTAGTTTCTTTCAAAAGTCTCTTTCACCAAATTTAGACAGATTTCTTTTTTTCTTCAGTTTTTAAACCCTCCTTCACATATTTTTATATACAATATACAATAGCTACATGTTATTTTGTCATATGAACATACCATAAGTTATTTAACCTTTCCTTTACTGTTGAGCATTTGGGTTAAAACCAAGAAAAGATGAGCTTCAAGGAAGATATGATCTACCGTTTCAAAAACAAAACATTTAAAGTAACATATTTATAATAATTTTGAAGAATGTATATACATAACTTGACCAAACTGTCTTTATCTGCTAGATTAGACAACACAGAGGAAATACATGCATTAAAGTGACACAATGGAACCTTTAGAAGCCACACACATATGGATAACAGATCTGATGAGACTGAGCCCTTGTTATTTTCCACAACAGTGCCATTCACATTTAATGATTTTAATATAATCAATAAAATGATTTATTATCAAGTAATTATGAATAGTTTGTGCATATTCTTTGCCTTGTGTGCTGGCAATTGATAACTATCTAGTTATTATCATCAGTTGATTTTTAAAATAACCTTTCTTTTTCCATAAAAAGAAATAAATGGTAATTGTATTATTTTTCCCAGTTACTATTATTGTTCAATGCACAGGAACCAAATCAAATTTAATTTTGTAATTATGATGAAAATAAGTTAATACAGTTTTAAATTAATATTAGTAACTCAGAGCCTTAAGTTGTCCTGCTTTCATGTTTTTTAAAAATGTAAGACCCTGCAGAAAAAAAAAGTTTCATTTTTCTACTCTAACACTAAAAGGTGAAGATGTTGTCTT